ATTTCTTCTCTTACCCAGTCTTTCTCAAGGAGGGTGTTGTTTAGTTTCCATGTGTTTACTCTTTTGGTGCTGATCCTCCTATTGACCACTGGTTTTTATGTATATGCCCTTAATTATGTTGAGGAATTTCTCTTCTATTCTATTTTGCTGAGAGTTTTTATCAGAAAAGCGTATTGGATTTTATGAAACGCCTTTTCTGCATCAACTGATATGATCATGTGGTTCTTTTCCTTTGTTTGATTTATGTGGTAGACTATGTTGACTGACTTCCTAACGTTGAGCCATCCTTGCACTCCCGGTGTGACTCCCACTTGGTTATTCAGTACATCCTTTCACTTGCCTGCCTTGCCCAGAATGCTCTTCCTTCTCCCAGAAAGACTGTCTGTCATAATGGTTAACAACTTGGACAGGCAGAGCTGGGTGGTAGTACTGGCCTAATACTTGACAGCTATGGGAACAAGTCAATGTCTGAACCTTAGTTTACTCATTTGTAGGATGGATGTTAACAATTACTCATCTCTCACTCTGTTACAAAGATTAGGGGTATGCAGATTGCTTAGTTCAAGCGGTTACTTTACTATATAAACGGGGATTGCTCTCTGTCATCTTGTTAACCAAAATACCTGATCCCTTGCAGACACATGGTCTTTTGAGGCATGAAGCTGAAGGTATGTGCTCCCCAACCCATGCTTTGGCAGGGATGAAGGAAGGAGATAAGAATGGGGCCACGTGCTGGTGCAGGAGCAAGAGCTTTGCCTCTTTTGACCATGACCATAATTCGAAGGCCAACCTCGCCTAACTTCTTACCAAATTCATAATCATGTTTCCCAGAATGGGATCAGACAGGGGCCAAGGGGAAATCTTTCTTACTCTATAATAAGCACAGGAACCTAGCAGGCTGCATAGAACAGGGAGAACAGGGTAACACCTGAGGCTCCTACAGGCAAAACGTTTGATCTGGCAAGTCAGGGTCCCAGGGAGACTTGTAGAAAGGAGTTGGCTAGCCCTGGGGGCAGGTGCCCAATGCCTTGAGTGAATGCACCAGGTGTCTTCCTACTTCTTCCTCAGTTGATGTAATCAGCCTATCAAGGCATACAAAGTGTGACAGGAGAGCCCAGCATAGCCCCTCCAGCAGCCAAAGACTGGAGGAATTAACAGCTATTCTCACCATTTAGAGAAACTAAGGTCCAGACACGGAGCTCTGGTAGCATACTGCCTAAGGCACTTGACTGCTAACCAGAATGCTGGTGGTTCAAACCCACCAACCACTCCTTGGAGGGAAGGTTGGGCAATCTACTAACGTAGTGATACCGCCTCAGAAACCCAAGGAGGGGTCACTGTAAGTTGGGTCCGACTCGATGGCACATAACAACAACAAGGCACAGACAAGGCAAATGGCAAAACCAAGCTCACCTGTGACACTGACAAAAAGAACCAGGACTTAATCATGGTAATTCTGACTCCAAGCAGGCTGCATCGGGTGTTAGGATGAGCACTGGGTCTGACGTCAGAGTACCTGATCATCATGGTTACCCTGATCACACGAGTCAGGTGCCATGCTTAATATGTTACCTGCATCATCTCATCCTAAGGCCATAAAACTGCAGCTGATGGGCTACATTTCACTCACAGATGTGTCCAGGATGACCCACCAGGTGATTTTTAAAATCTATAATGAGTTGCCTAGATTTAAAAATTGAGTATTGCATAGAGATCTTGATATCTGGCTTCTCTTAAAAGATCAGAAGCTCTGGCCCAATGCGCTCAGGTTCAAGGACAATGATAACTGGTTGGCAGCCACCCTTTAAAAGGAAACATGTGCTCTTCCACCTGTCAGTTCCCACCCAGCCTGCTTCACTCACTTACCTGCCTGATCCCTGTGGGCACGTGAGTTTGTGACCTCTGATGTAAGGAAATCCTCACAATCCCTAAAGGAAGTCTACTGCCTTCATTTTACAGATGAGGAAATGGAGACACAGAGAAGTAACTTGCCCCAAGTTACACAGCCTCTAAGTGGTGAAGCAAGATTCAAACCTGACATGTCTCACTCAAAGCCCATGTTCTTCCCACTACCCAGCCCTGCACTCTGGGTCTGCTCCAAGCTAGTCATTCCCCGCTCTGGGTCTATTTCCTCCTCCTGTCAAGTGGGGAGAATGATTTTTATCCTGTAGGACCTTGTGAAGACCTCTACTCTGAGAGGGCAGATAGGCAAACACTTTCTAAATTCTGGTAAGCGCTACACTGGGAACCCAGGGACAGATATATAGCCCTTGGCCTACAATGGAGGTAGGAACCTACCTTCTTAGGCAGGAAGTGGACCCCAACAGAGTACTTATCTGGGTGGGTCCACAGTTCAATCTGCGCCAGCACCTGGTTAGTGAAGGAGTTGCTCATCACAAAGCTGGGGTGGCCCATGGCGCAGCCTAAGTTGACCAGTCGGCCTTCAGCCAGCAGGATGATTCGGTGCCCGTTCTTCAGCCGGTAGCGGTCCACCTGCAAGTGGGCAGAGCAGCAGTGAGGACTGGTGGGCATTGCTCCTACTGTCCACCCTACCTGTTGTCCAGCAGGCCTCCCTACCCCCAAACAAACTTCAGCACAGGGTCTGGTGCATAAAACAAATAATAACCAGCATTTATGAAGCCACTCTGAGCTGCAGTCCTCACAGGTCTGCTGTGAGGATTTAATGAGCCAATATAAGCAAAGCACTTAGCACAAGGCTTGGCACATACTAACTACTCAAGAAATATTAACTTCTTGTTATTATTGCCATGTGCCCTGTGCTAAGATCTTTACATATATGAATCACATTTAATTCTAATAACCTTATGATTTAAGTACTACTATCAGTATGCTCTGGTAGCATAGTGCCTAAGGCACTTGACTGCTAACCAGAAGGCTGGCGGTTCAAACCCACCAGCCACTCCTCGGAAGGAAGGTTGGACAATCCTACTTCCATAGTGATACTGCCTCGGAAACCCAAGGAGGGGTCGCTATGAGTCGAGGCCAACTCGACGGCAAATAACAACAACAACAACAACATCAGTACTTAAAAGGAGCCTTGATGGTGCAGTAGTTAAAGCACTTGGATGCTAACTGTTTGAACCTACTAACTGCTTTGTGAGAGAAAGATATGGCAGTCTGCTTCTGTAAAGATTTACAGCCTCAGAAACCCTATAGGGCAGTTCTACTCTGTCCTATAGGGTCACTTTGAGTCAGAACTGACTTGCCACCAACGAGCATTAGTACTTAGAGGAGGTCCTGGATAGTGCAAATAGTTAAGCACTTAACCACTAGCTGAGAGACTGGTTTAAATCCACCCAGAGGCACCTCAGAAGCTAGGCCTGGAGATCTGCTCCTGAAAACTCCCGGTCTTGAAAACTCCATGGAGCAGTTGTATTCTGCACACAGGGGTCACCATGAGCTGGAATCAACTTGAGGGCAATTAACAACAACATCTGTACTAATGAAACTGAAGCTTAAAAGATCAGGTCACTTATACAGAGCCACACACTATGAAGTGGCTACAACACGGGTCTGGACAGTCTGAGAAGAGATCCCATGTTCTCAACCACCGTGCTAATAAAAGCTGAATACCACCCCCCCCAACTTTGGCTGCACATCGAAACCACCTTGGGAGCTTTTAAAAAGAAAATTGAGATGCCCTGCCCTCACTCCTAGAGATTCTGATTTAACTGGTCTGGGTGATTCTGCCAAGGTTGAGAACCTCTGGTTTAGTGAGTGAACTAGAAGTGAAACTAGAAGTGCAACCCTCACAACCTTCCATCTCTCCCAGCGCCTGAGCAGACCCAGCTGTACTTTTCTCATCTTTCTATCCTTTCACTTGCAATGCGTCACACTGACTCCTGCACATATATCCCCATAAGCCCAGGTCTCCAGGCTACCCCAAGAAGTCTATTACTGGTCAAAGGAAAGGTCTTTGATGCCCATCAAGCATTCATTCATTCATTCATTCAATAAACATTCAACTTTTGAGCCAAGCCCATTGCAGGGAAATATCAAAATGGACTCTGCCCCAATGGTACAACTAGGGAGAGTAAAACCAGTGATTCCAACTTTACGTGATGGACACTATACTAGAAGTCTCCACAAAGTGTTGTGGGCATTGCCCTCTGCCTGAGGAGCTAGCCAGGAAGAGGGTCCCTTGAGCTGGGGCTTGGAGGTTGAGTGGGAGTTCAGGCAAAGAAAAGGGCATTCACTCCACTCCATAAAAAGGAGCCATCTAGACAGATAACTGTGGTGGTGTGTTCAGGAAGTGGTCCAGGGGGCCTGAGAGACAGATAGAATATGCAACTGGGAAGAAGGCTGGCAGGACTGTCAAAGATCTTGAGGGTGAGAATAGAGTCCAGCCTTGGAGGGTAGCTTGGGGAAAGGTATGCTCATCACCCCCAGGAAGCTCTATGTGGCCTCTGCAGAGAAAGGCCTGGCTAGCATGCCCCATCCAACCCCTTCTATAGTAAGACTGAAAGGCCTCCTAGGCAGAGAGATAGAGGTGCCTTCTGCCTGGCCAGGAACTGATGCCCATAGGCTGGTGCAGGTCCCACTTGAGGGGAATTCCCATACTGGGGCAGAGGGCATGAGGGGAGTGCGATGGGGTGGGTCCATGTGTGGTGTGTGTGCACTGAGGAGTGGTGGCCTGCCTCTCTGGGGCTCTGAGCAAGTGGTTGTCAGCAGACGCTATTTTCCTCTGTAAATACCTGAAGGATAGCCATAGGCACTACAGCACCCCATTCAGTATGGGTTTTTCCCTCCTTTGAACACTGTTTAACCTTCAGTATATAAAATCAGAAAACCTGATTGCTTTAAAAAAATACTTTAATAATAGACAGTGAAATTATTCTCAGTTTACCGTATTACAGAAAAATAGCACTGTGATGAACATCCTTTTGTACTTAATTATCCCCTATGGATCAATTATTAGCAGAAAGACTGCCCAAAGAATTTGCTTAACTATTAAAGAAACAAACCAAACTCACTGCCATCAAGTCAAATCCCAATTCAGAGAGACTCTCAAGGACCCAGTAGAACTGCCTTACAGAGTTTCATCTTTCTCCTATGGAGCTGCAGGTGGGTTTGAACTGTCCACCTTTCAGTTAGCAGCCAAGCGCTTAACCACTACGTGACCAGGCTCCTTGTTTAACGTTAAAGCTCTTTCTTGATATCCAAAGCCAAAATGCCTCCCAGAATTGAACCCACAACTGTGGTTTCCAGCCAAACAAAGTACAGGCATGTGAGTTAAACATTTACCTCAAGTAGACACACGCCCTGGAGAGAACAATCATGGGAGAAGGAAGGGCTGCTTATGCACAGGGAGATAGCTCAGGGTGCAGAAGAGTATGAAGGGATGGACACTGGGAGGAGGTAACTATGGGGAGGAAGTGGGAGGGGAGCTGCTGCATTGTAAATTTTGGTCAATGACATGAGACAAAGTATATGTGAACTGCTGTATGAAAAGTGAATTTACTCTGTAAATCTTCACCCAAATCCTAATAAAAAAAAAAAGAAAGAAAGAAAGAAAGAAATTTAAGGGCAAGAGCATTGGCTCAGCCTTTAGCAGCAAAAGTAGAATAAGTACTTAAAGAAAAATAAAAAAAAAAATGCCTCCCAGAAGCACCTTATTACTATTATAATCAGAAAAAATAATGCCACAATAAATATTCAAATAAAATTTTACATATTCCGAAGGAACTCAGTTCTCAATACTCTGTTGCAAAACTGTTTCTCCTCGACCCCATCTTCTCAGCTCAGTAAGTGGCTCCACTCTTCACACAGCTGTGCAAGCCAGAAATCTAGTATCTTTTCAGTTCTGCCCTCATCCTGACCCCATATCCAATCCACCCATCATCCACCTTTCTCCATTTCTCACCGCTCCAAGTGGAGGCTGCCATTACCCCCAGCCAGGACTATGTAAGAGCATCCTTTAAAGGCCTCCTTGCCTCCCCTCTTCCTCCACTGTTTTCATTCTCCACATAACAGCAAGAGGGAACCAACAATTTCACCACGTACATCTCACCTGCCTAAAACCTTTCAGGACTCTCGCCACCACGTCAACCCTGACTCTGAAACCAGGCCCTCCTTCTCCCCATCCTACCAGCCTCCTTCTCTGCCCTCCGTGGTGGCCAGCTTATGAGCTCACCCCTCCTCAGCCCTCCATCTTGCCCACCCAGCCAACAAGGCTGGGGCTTCTCACCTGGGGCTTTATGTTCACCTTCTCCACAGCATTCTCATTGAGCCACTTGACATCAATCTCCACGTCAAAGTGTCCGATGTTACACACGATGGCATCATCCTTCATCTGCTCAAAGTGCCTGTGGTGGAGCCCAAGCCCATGAGAGACAGTCAGGAACGAAGAGTGGCCCCAGACCTCCCTCCCTCCCCAGGACCCTTGCCCAGCACTTACCGGCCAAGGATGATATCTACACAGCCTGTGGTGGTGACAAAGATGTTGCCCTCCTGACAGGCCTCATCCATGGTGGTCACCTCATAGCCTGTGCAGAAACAGTGGCCGTGGGTTACCTGAGGTGGCATTACCCCTCCTCTGGCCCCAGCAGCTGACAGCCAACTCTCACCCTATCATACCCTCCATGGCGGCCTGTAGCGCATTGATGGGGTCAATCTCGGTGATGATGACGCGAGCCCCGAAACCTCTCAGGGCCTGGGCACAGCCCTTGCCCACGTCACCGTAGCCTGCTACCACTGCCACCTTGCCCGCAATCATCACGTCTGTGGCCCGCTTAATGCCATCTATGAGGGACTCCCGGCAGCCATAGAGGTTGTCAAATTTGCTCTGAAAGGAAAAGGTGTAAGGGGGTGATAGGGAAGGGAAGACCCTGGGACCAGGCCCCCGTGAGCCTCAGAGTCTTCACATGGACCCACTCCCCACATGGACCAACCATCTTCTGTGACTCCTTCCCTCCAGCTAATGCCCCCATAGACCCCTCACCCTGATCTGCTCTAAGACCTTCTTGGAAGCCTTTCTCTGCTGGTCCAACAGCCTTCCTCAGCCACCCAGCTCTGAAGCTCAGTGTGTTGTTCTCCTCTTCTTTAACGTACTCACTACCCTCAGTCTACAACCCCCCTTCCTCCTTAAATGAGTTTCATGTCCCCAGACTGTAGCCTTCCAGGGGCCCTTCTTTGAGGACTTACTCCTGAGCTGTGCCAGAAGCCGAGAGTAGAGCTGGGCTCACCTTGGTGACAGAGTCATTGACGTTGATGGCAGGCACCTTCAGGATCCCATTGGCCATCATCTTGTATAGGTTGTGGACCCCAGTCGTGGTCTCCTCAGAAATGCCTCGGATGCCTGAACAGAAAGGGAAGTGAGGAGCCTCAGGTTCAGCCCTCATCCTCAGACCAGGAAGGGGCTGTTGAGGGATGGGGAGGCATCTGGAATGAAGCCCAAGAGTTTCAGAGAGACTATACCCAGATGCACCCAAATTCCCCACGTCTGGCATTTAAAGCCACTCTTAATTCTAGGTCCTCATCTCTGTGACTGGCACCAAAGTCCACTCAGTCACTCAGGCCTACATGAAAGGAGTCACTCCTGATGCCCCCTGAATAGCAGACCGATCATCAAGCCTAACCAGTCTATCTGCCAGCTCCCACCTTCTGCATCCCTACTGCCACCAATGCCATAGTCCCTGCCACCACAATCTTTCTCCTGGTCTCCCTGCAACAATCTATCCTCCACACAGCAGCCAACAGCCATATGCAACACAAAGTTTGCCATTCTAACAAGTTTTAAGTGTACAATTCAATGACATTATTATATTCACCATATCGTGCTACCATCACCACTATCCATTTCCAATGTTTTTCATTTCCCTGAACAGAAACGCAGTACACCTACTGCTCCTCACTTATCGACTGTCTCATTATTCAACATTCTGCATTTAGGACAACAGTAAAAAAATCTACTTGTATCACCTTAAAGCCAGGTAAGGACCCAGGTGTTGTGAGGGAGAGAGTGCCTCCCTCTTAAGCCCCAAGTCCTTTGATTCCTACCATCCCACCCTTTCCCACAGTCTTGGATACAAATAAACTTAAAAGGGGGTGGGGAGGAAGCAAATTAGAAGAGGAAAAAAAAAAAAAAAAAACACCAGTCACTGGAGGTTGCCAGGACTTGGGGCTATTTACCTGCATGTCCCATGGCCTAGTCCCCTCACCCCAATCATGGTCTGTCTGCAGGCTGGTGGCAGAGCTCTGGCTTTGGGCTGAGTCTGCAGAAGACAGCAGAGAGGTACAGACCCCGAGATCTGCCCTTTGTGTACTTGGGGATGCTAGGGCCAGGCAACAGGGGTCAAGGTTAATGGGCATTTTCACAGAGAGCAAGAATTCCATGTGGGGAAATTGCAGTCAATGTCATGAGACAAAGTGTATGGGAGCTGCTATGTGGAAAATGAATTTGCTCTATAAACTTTCACCCAAATCACAATAAAAATTTAAAAAAAAAAAAGAATTCCACATGGGACAGGGTAGGGCAAGTCCCCACCCAGCTGCAAATCCTAACCCAATCAGCTCTGTGGTTTGAAATGGCAAGGCAACCTGCCTGCCCGACCCAAGTTATGGACCAAAATACAAAAGAAAGAAGGAAGTAGGAAGTAACAGTGAGGAGAGACAAGCTGCAGAACGCAGCCACAGGGGAAGGATCAGCCCCACAGGGCTGCCTTTGAAATGGCTCCTGGAGCCCCAGGGGCACTGGGTAGCTGAAGTTTCCCATAAAGTTGACTTTCACATAATAACCTGGTCTTTGGAACCTGACCAAGTAAGGAGTGGTTACACTCTTTAACTAAAAACTCCCCACTTCTTCCTCCCCCTGGCCCCTTGGTAACCACTAAAAAATTTTTTTATTCACCCGTCCTAGATAGTTCATAAGGAGCTCTGGTGGTGCAGTCTCTAAGGCATTTGACTGTTAACCAGAAGGTTGGTGGTTCAAACCCACCAGCCACACTGGGTTATCTACTTCCATAAAGATTCACCATCTTGGAAACCCAAAAGGGTCACTATGAGTAGGAATCAACTCGATGGCAGTGAGTTTTTTTGGGTTTCTTTTGTTTAAGATAGTTCATATAAGGGATGGACATGGAAGAGGTAACTATCGGGAAGAAGTGGGAGGCGAGCTGTTGCATTGGGGTAAATTGTGGTCAATATCATGAGACAAAAGGTATGTGAACTGCTGTACAGAAAGTGAATTCGCTCTGTAAATTTTCACCCAAATCACAATTAAAAAAAAAAAATAGTTCATGTAAGTGTGATTATACAATATTTATCCTTTTGTGCCTGACTTAGTTCATACAGCACAATGATTTTAAGATCCATCCATGTCAAAGCACGTATCAGCACATTTCCCTCTTTTTTTTTTTTTTTTTTTTTTAATTAGGATTTGGGTGAAGATTTACAGAGAAAATTCACTTTTCATACAGCAGTTCACATATACTTTGTCTCATGTCATT